CACCCAGCACAATGTCCATTATACATTAAGCGCTCAACAAGTAAAGACTAATTGGATGAATCCATCCCAGATCTGCCATTCATCAGCCACATAAGCTTAGAATCTAGCCCTGTCTCTTGGTCCTCCATTAGACCCCTGCAAAGCAGGGGTGGGTGGCATCTCTCCTAGTTCACAGACTGCTGCAGGGAACTGGGAAATCAGCAAACGAATGGATATAAAATTGCTTTTTAAAATACACAGCCCTGAGAAAATGCACCCTTTTCCATATCTAATTCCCCTTCCCCTCTCAATCTCTAACTTTCCTTTGAATATCTGATTCAGTCCGTGGCTTTGCTGAAATCTTTATTTGGGTTGCTTTTAGTTTCTAATGGGAGTGACAGTCAGGGGTGGGAGGGAGAAAGACAGACAAGTGCTCTCCCAGGCCCTGGGGTCCTGGATTTGATTGAGTGGCATTGATAAAAGACCTTCCCAGCTTTTTTGGCTCAATCCATCGGGAGAGATAGTTTGGAGACAGCCGATTCCAAACACAAGGAGCCCTCTGGCCTGCCTGGCCCTTTGACGTTTCACTGGGCCTGACTCCTGGGATCACTGGAAAGGAGACAGACAATGAGGGGAAGTCAGATAGTGGGGCAGGCAGGGGCCAGGGGGAAAACCACCCATGGAGTTATCACTTAACGAGAATCCCAACTGGAAGGAAACCTCCGCTGATTCCTTATCACTTTACAGTGTGGAGGCTGATGATGAATTACTATTTGTTGTCTCCTAGGCAGGACAGAGAGCTCTTGGCTGGAATGCTCCCTGTCACTGGGAGCTCCCTTTTGGGGGTGGAGGGAGGTGAGAAGGGCAGAGGTTTCTGGAAAGGTGAAAGGATTTCTCCAGGGTGCATACACCCCATTCACCTGGAGCCCACAGATCTCAGTGTGCATCTCCAGTCAGGCCACTCAGGAGCTGGGTGACTTTGGGGAAGTTTCCCAGTGGTGGTTTCCAAATCCACAAAGAAGGGGTCATTCTTCACCTTGTTATCGCCAACCAGCCACTAAGTCCTGATTCCACCCACATCTCCAGCTTCCCCTCACACCCTGACCAGAGCCACCATCTCCCGTTTCAGGCCCTATGACGGTCTCTCAATGGGGCTCTGAAGCCAACTCTAGTCTTGTGCTATTATAGCAATGTGACAGCTTCCAAATAACTTAATCACAAGTTTAAATCCCACCAATGGACATGCACTGGTGGGAGGATAAAATCTGATGTCCTTCATTAAAATGGCTTACATCTCGATCCCTGCCTTTCTCTCTAGCCCTCATTCCCCCCACTTTGCCCTTGCCCTGAGTGCCAGCATCTCAGCCTTCTGTTCACTTCCCAGGGGCAGGCTCTTCCTCAGCCAAGGGGCTTCATGCATGCTTTCCTCTATGCATGGACACCCTCACACCTCCCCTTCCCTATCCAACACTCACTCTCCTCAGATCTCAGCCTCAGTGCTTCCCTGATCTTCCACTCTAGACTGATACTCCGGTTTGATATTCCTTAACACTTTGCATATCTCCTCATGGCATTCAATCATTTATTTTATTTTATTTTTTCTTTTTCACCCAGGTTGGAGTGCAGTGATGCAATCATAGCTCACTGCAGCCTCGAACTCCTGGGCTGAAGCAATCCTCTCACCTCAGCCTCCTGGGTTAGCTAAGACCACAGGTATGTGCCAACACACCAAGCCAGTTTTTAAAATTTTTTTTGTAAAGATGGAGTCTCACTATGTTGCCCAGGCTAGTCTCAACTCCCGGGCTCAAGCAATCCTCCAGCCTCAGCCTCAGCCTCCCAAAATGCTGAGATTACAGATGTTAATCATGTGCCAGGCTTCACAATTTTCATTAAGCCATTATATAATTACTTGTGTAATATGTGACCTGCTTGCAACAGTGTGAGCTTCCTAAGGGCAGGCTTGTGGCAAGCACATGTTCATTGAGCACTCATAGGTGCCAGGCACTGTTCTAGGTGCTTCCTGTGGATGATCTAATTTTCTCTCATCCCAACCATATCAAGCAGATGCTACTGCTATTCTCATTTTGCACGAAAGGAAGATAGTTGAGGCCCAGAAAGGTGAAACAATTCGCCCACGGGCACAGAGCTGCAAAGTGTCAGCAACTGGGAGTATTTCTACAGTGGATCAGCCCCCAACTGCAGCTCCCCCTGTGGCCACTCCAAGTTGATCTTAACTTCATCCAAGGAACCTGCAAACACTCCATGAAAGTCAAGTCATAACCTAAGAGGTTTGTGAACCTTGCATTCAAAGCCTCCCCGCCGCATCCTTCAGGAATGCATTTATAAGGATGCTGTTGTAAATATTGAACCTAAAAAGCACCATGATTCTTTTCGACTTCTTCCTGCCCGTCTTTTGGTATGGTATTAATTTAATCGATTAGACCTCCCTAATTCAAACCTGGTGAGCTCTTAACAGGTTTGACCCAGTCTCAAAGACCGATCTTCAGTGGAAAATGAAATTTTGAGATTGTACCGGATGAGCAAAGGTAACCAAGACAGTATAGAGTGGTGGTGAAATGCACAGGTGTAGAATTTGCAGACCAGGCTGGGGTTCAAGAACCACTGGCATTTTTTGTTTGGAACCTTTCTGAGCCTCAGCTTCCCCATTGGTAAAGTGGGTTAATAATAGCACCTACTCTACAGTGTTGTCAAAAAAGCTGGTGGTCTGGGACTTAGGAAGGGTTCCCTTAAATATCATATAAAACAGATTCTGTTTTATATGATATTTAAGGGACCTGTGTCCCATGGGACTTTCTTAACCTCCTGCTCATGCCTAAAGAGGCAGACATATTTGCAGGCATCTGGTCTCCAGTCCATCCAGCAGCAGACTGCTGGGAGTTGGGCCAGGGGGCCTGTTGGAGTGATATTGTTCAGGCCTTTGAGATCCAAGGCGTTTGGACTGACTTCAGGTAAGCCTGGAAATCAGGCCTCACCCAGGTCAGTTCCCAGCCCCATGTAAATACCAATGACAGTCCTTCCCTCCTTTAAAAAGCAAGATTGGTAAATGTCAAATAGTCAAACTCTGTTACTTTCCTCGTGTAACCCTAGCTCCAGAAAAAGCTACCAAAGCATCCATTCCCATCCATTGTTAGCGAGCTGTTTTTCTTCCTAAAGGTCTAGGCACTGGGTGCTGGATTCACAATGGCTTGTGTTGACTACTGAGTCTGTGAGGTTCAACAGGCCACTTTGTAGATTAAAACTGGTGTATTTTGGAGCAAAACAGCTACTACTTTCTGGGTCAATCCTGAGATAACACATGACATGTATGATTTTTTAACATCTTTGCACCAAGCCTTATGAGACAAGTCATACCCCGAGCCCAAATTTACAGACTTTTTTGAAATGAGGCTTGGAAAGGTTAAGTAACTTGTCACTATTTATAAACATTTTTAAATTTCAAAGGTGAACTTCATCCTCACTGATTCTGCAGACCACAGATGTAAGCTTCAGGCTACACCATCCCCTCCATATCTGGCTTCTCAAGCTCTCGCCTAGAGAGGCAGTCTTCTCTGTGCTTCCTCCTGGGACTCACCTTCTGGAGTGATATCTGCCACATACCCAGTCATAGCTGTCACCTACTGGGTACTTGCCAACTATCAGATGCTTTAGGAAATATCATCATTTACAGAGTGAGAAACTGAGGCTAGGAGAGGCTAGAACACCAGGGTGAGGTCACACAAGAAGCAGGGAGCAGAGATGAGATTTGAACCCACGTCTCTCCATCCCCAAAGCCTTCAGTCTCCCCACCATACCATTGCCTACTCCAAGCAATGGTTCTAGCAAGCTGAACTCAATACACTACCTGTGACAAACACTTCTACTCTGGTTCACAAGAAGGCCCACCAGAAAATTATTTCTTTATATAGCTCCTTTAGACTTGGATGACTTACAAAAAAGCCTTTCATTTCTCATGTGGCAAAGAAAACCACAGAATGCCTCAGCTTAGTAGATTTACAGTGGGGGGCTAAAGGGGGAAAATCACTTGTGATTTGTGCCTGTGTGTTGGTTTTGATCAGAACAAAAAAAAGGGGAGTTCAAAATGCACCTGGAAGAAACACTGGCACATATACCAGAGAGGCATTCACAGTCTCAAGGGGTTTTTCTACATCACGGCTTGTAATACAAGCAGGGACCACTGGAAGCAATCTCCCTGCCTACCAGAGGGGGTGGCCAAATAAACTCCATTTTATCCTTTCCAGTCAATTCTTCCTCCTTAGCAGTTAAAAAAAAAAATGAGGCAGTCTAGGTTTATAAAAAAATATCCAAAATGCATTCTAAAGTTTAAAAGAATAAAAAAATCAAGTTACAAAATACATACAGTGTGATTTTATCTATATCAAAAGTTTCATTAAAAAATGTCGGGTGCCGTGGCTCATGCTTGTAATCCCAGCACTGTGGGAAGTCAAGACAGGTGGATCACTTGAACCCAGGAGGTTGAGACTAGTCTAGGCAACATGGTGAAACCCTGTCTCTACAACAACAACAAAAATTTAGTAGGTTGTGTTGAGGCATTCTTGTAGCCTCACCAGCTAGGGAGGCTGATATGAAAGGATCACTTAAGCCCATATGGTTGAGGTTGCGGTGAGCCATGATTACACTACTGCACTCCAGCCAGAGTGAGACTCTGTCTCAAAAAAAAAAAAAAAAAAAGTAAAAATCTAGTTCTTTCTCTGCACTCTCCGTGTGTGTGTGTGTGTTTGTGCATGTGTGCATAAATGAATACAATAGGTCTGAACATTTCAAATAAGCTTTCTTCAAAGAAGGGGCTAGAACTGGGGATGGGAATATATGAAGGGAACCTTTAGTTTTGGCTGTATAATTTGAATTTCTTATCATCCCCATGTATTTTTGTGTTGTTTACATTTTTTAAAAAATGCACACTCCTCATCCCCCTCCCCCCCAGCCCAAGGAAAGGAAAAGATAAGAAATAATGTGAGCTGACCATGGGTGATCACACTTACCTTTCCTCTTGGTGCAATGGTAAATCTGGCTATGCTCCTGGGGCAGTGGGTATGGGTTGGGTGGGGGCAGGAGGTCCTGGGAGGGGCCGGAGACACCATTCTCACACTGGTACTGGGACCCCAGGTTGGATGAGGTGGAGAGAGCTCGAGACTCACTGCTGAAAGGACTGTGGTTGGAGGCCACTTTTTGCCTCACGGTGCTCCTGGGGACCACAGGATATTCTTTACTGAAAGAGAAAAGATGGGAGATAACACTTATCAGTACCCTGATACAGATTTCCTGAGTGGCTGAACCAGGCATGAGAGAATCCACCAGAAAAGTCACAGAATAAGGAAAAATGGGGTCTTTGATGAATGAAATGATCCAGTTATATTCATGTCCATCATATTTCACAAATGTATATTTGGGTACTAACTTTTCATGCCCTATACATTAGGCAAGTAGATTTGCCAACAGTTCTATAACTAAGCAGAAAAGTAAATAAACACCGCCAGTTAAGAACCCCTTCTAACAATCAATAAACACACAGGGTGTTTTGAAATATGTCAATTTAGTCTACCTATGTCTTTGAATTCCCTAATTCGAAAGCTAGTTAATCTAAGTATTTATTTAGACTTAACCTGTGGGTGTCCATCTTTAAAGTGGGGCTCAGGTCATTGCCCAAAGTGTGTAAAAACTGGTAGCTGACCACCTATGAGGGTCAGGTATAATCCTAGGTTACCCTAATCTGGATAGATTGCTGCTTGTGTCCTAGAATTTCCTTCTGAGCTTCTGTCCTTGTGGCCACTGATGTACTTAACTTCTCCATATCTTGGCTTTCCCATCTGTAAAGTAGGGATAATGAATGTCCCCAGTTCAAAGGGCTGTTGATACTGTGAAAAGACTTAGAAAGGTACATGGCACACAGTAAATGCTCAACAAATGGCAACCATCATCATCACTGTTATTGTTTTGGGCAGAGAGAATAAAGAGAGGGAAAAGGGAGTGAGAAAGAAAACAAGAAAGAAGCAGGAAAAGGAACACGGATTTTAAAAAATAGCATGGGATCTAAGATTACGTACCTCCAAATTCAGGCCCTATCCCCCTATCCCTTGCGGGCTGTGTGTTCATCTGACACACAACCCTCCCCTGAGCTTCAGGGCTTATGCAGGCAAAGTAAGCATAATAAAAATTCCATGACATCATAGGTATAGCATCCTTCAATGTGCTCAAAATCTGGTCCTCACACTCTTACGATTGGTCTTCCACATTCCCTTACCTTCAGATTTCATACAAGGTATTCCCATTTTTTTTTTCCTTAGAAGGACTCAGTAGAAACCTCTCCTGGAAGAAGGAAAGTCATGCTATGCAGCACCACAAGGCTCAAAGGAAATGAGATAGGCGGGGGTTGGATCAGACATGGGAGGTGGCAGAGGAGTAGAGAGAAGGGGAGCAGCTTAAAGATAAAAGGGACAAAGAGAGAAATGTCCAAGGATGGGGGAGAAGAAGAGCTTGACCCCTAACATCCCACACTCAGCATTTAGGATGGGACAGGGAATTTTGGGCATGGCATTTACAAACTGCATATATTGCTATATAGCCATTTAAAAAATAGTTTGATAACTATATTTTACATATAATTGGCTTCCTTTGTAACCTGTGTATTCTATTTCATGCACTTAATCATATTATTCTTAGAGGTGATTCATAGGCTCCAACATACTGCCAGAGAGGCCCACGGCATAGGTTAAGAACCCCTATCCTAGAAGGAGCATGTGTCAGTAAATCCCAAACTTCAGTCAGACACAATTTTCACCATGACCTAGAACCATGTATTCTTTAACTTACGACATTTTAAAAAGTCATCATCTATCCAAATAAGTTAAGCTTCACTATAAGTAATCGTATCTGTGAAATTACAGACTTGTGGTACTAATTATATTTCTTTTAATGCAATTAAAACAAATGTTTATACGCCTGTAGTCATCGCAGCTCAGGAGGCTGAAGCAAGAGGATTGCTTGAGCCCAGGAGTTTGAGGCTGCAGTAAGCTATGACTGAACCATTGCATTCCAGCCTGGGTGACCCTATCTCAATCAATCAATCAATGCTTAACTATTAAAATTAAAGAGTATACCTGAAATAATTTCACGTGCAATGAGCTGCACATAAGGCATTTTGAAGGATCTTGAATTCGTCCGTTTCATTTTTTCTGTGACTCTATGTGGTAGGTATTATTTTTGTTCACATTTTACAGATTAGGAAATTGAGGCCCAGGGAGATGAAGCAACTTGTCTAAGGTCACAGAGTTAGAAAGAGACACAACTAGAATTCTAACCCAACATGTCCTTATAACTTTTGTATTGTCTCCTAAAGACTTCTTTCAATTTTTATAACATAATATGCTTTTAGGAGAGCAGGGTTTGGGGACACAAGACTCTTTCCACTTCTATGCTCTCAAGTGTGTGACAATCTCCACCCTGTGTCTCTGCCTTTGTTTGCCATGTGAAAGCACATCAGAGTGGCCAGGCAGGGACATGGAGCATCTGCCAAGTTTCCATGAAGTTACACCCTCAGGATACCCAGGGGTGTCCTAGCTCAGCTTGCCTGTGGCATGTGCCATCTCAGAACCAAAGCTGAAGCCATCTGAGTGGCCGTAGCCATCAGAATCTCCCCCTGGGGCCAGGAGGCTGAAGGGAATGGAATTAGCTTTATAGCTCTCGCTTTGTGGTTCAAGCTACGTCATGGAAAAAAAGAAGAAGAAAAAGTATAATAACAATAAAACATTATAAAAGTTGTCAAAACTCGCTGGCAATTCTATTTAGATCTATTCCAATATTTTGCTGTCAGAGCTCCAGGAGGAAGGGGAAAATCTCTTTTGGTTTTACGTTTTTAATAGGAACTTGTTTTTTTAATTAAAGAAAATAACCCCCAAAAAATGTTGGCTGAGAGAATTTACAAGAGAATGTATCAATGGACTCCATGGAATTCTCTGTTCCATTACTGCCAAATTGCAAAATTGCTCTCTGGAAAGGCCAAGTCCTGCTTTTGATTACTAACACAGAAGTGGGGAAAGCAATATCATCCCAATAACCACTTGCCCCTTACAGCTCATTTCCCTCTAAGGAGCCCAAAACATCTTCCCCATCACTGATCAAGAACATCTCTGTTAATGCCCAAAATACAATGTCCTCAAGCCCCTTTGATAGGTGTCAAAATATGGCCACGGAATGGGGAAGCGACTCCTCAATCATTACAGAAGGATTCAAGACAATGTCAGAATCAAACAGCAGCAGGGCAGTTTTCACAGAGCTCATCCATGGATCAAAGGAACCGATCAATCCAAGAAACGTGGTTAGTATCAATATGGCCGAAATCTCTCAAGTCCTCAAGATGAAAAGATAAAATTATTTTCTTCTACAGTTTAAGAATATCCATGAAGAAGCAAGGACACAAGGGAATTAAAGTGAAAGTTGAAAAGCCCTGTGTCTCTGGAAATACAGGCAGCAAAAGGAGCCTGCTCTGTTTTTAATCATCATCATCATCATTGTTATCTATATTGTTCTTCAAGTGCCTCCTAATGTTCCAGCCACTGTACTGGTTGATTGATACGCTTATCCTGATTTGATCCTGGCAAGAACCTCATTTCCCAGGTACAGTCAGATTTACATTAGAGATACGAAAACGCACATGAGCCAGGCACAGTGGCTCATGCCTGTAATCCCAGCACTTTGGGAGGCTGAGGCAGACAGATCACTTGATGTCAGGAGTTCAGGACCAGCCTGGTCAATATGGCAAAATCCCGTCTCTACTAAAAATATAACAATTAGCTGGGTGTGGCAGTGGGCACCTGTAATCCCAGATACTTGGGAAGCTGAGGCAGGAGAATCGCTTGAACCCAGCAGGTGGAGGTTGTAGTGAGCTGAGATCGTGCCATTACACTCCAGCCTGGGCAACAAGAGTGAAACTCTGTCTCAAGAAAAAAAAGAAAAGAAAAGAGAAAAGAAAAGAAAAGAAAAGAAAAGAAAAGAAAAGAAAAGAAAAGAAAAGATGCAGGCACAGAGAGGTCAAATGGCTTATCCCAGACCACACAGCTAAGAGGCAAAGCTGAGTCTCACCTAGGGTCAGTCCTATTCCAAAGCTCATGTTACCTAATACTTTTTAAAAACACACACAGATAAATGTATTTTCTCATAGTTCTGGAGATGTGAGTGCTAGCGTGGTCAGTTTCTGGTGATGCCGTGTCCTCACATGCCAGGCAGGGAGAGTTAGAGAGGGTTAGAGTGGGGGAAGATCGATCTCTCTCTCTCTCTCTGTCTTTCTTCCTCTTCTTTGTAAGGTCACAGTCCTGTGAGATTAAAGCCCCACACTATGACCTCACTTAACCTTTTCTTTTCCTATCAGTTATCATATTTATTATTTTCACATAACATTTTTAAAGAATTTGTTTTGGGGGGAATAGGTAGTGTTGGGTTACATGGGTTAGTTATTTAGTGGTAATTTCTGAGATTTTGATGCACCCATCACCCGAACAGTGTACACTGCACCCAATGTGTAGTCTATTAAACCTCATCCCCTCCCGCACTTCCCTCCAAGTCCCTATATCAAGGGGAATGAAGGGAGGGGGCTGAGTGATAAAAGTCCCCACAAGTCCATTATATCGGCCACCTAACTAATACTTAATAATAAGCAATTGTTACCACCATACCAACTACTGGGCAAATACAATCATTCCACTTTATAAAGCATGCCGGTAATGAGAGATATCTGGACATTGGATATTGGCTCCACCCAGGCCATATCAAGATCTACTGATCAATCCTTCTGTTTGCAGAAACTTGAGTTTGCAACAGCCAAATCTCACTGCTTTCTGCTGTATCAAGCAGCTACACCTGCATCCCATAGACAAGCTCTGACCAGGGTCTGCCCCACTTCCCTCCAGGTACAAGCTGGGGGTCCTGAGTACCTCGGCTGGCCTTGGGTGTCAGCGCCGCAGGCCAGCTTCTCCCCAGCTCTGCCCTTCTCTCACATTCTGTTCCACATGAGCGAGTGCAATGAATGACGCCATTGTCGCCGGGTCTGGGTTGTAAAACGTTACAAGGGAATACTGAAATCCACGGCCAAACTGCATCCTCAGCCTCCCTCCAGCTAATGAACACCCCGGAGAACGTTTTCCACCACAGCCGACTGAATTGGCCTTTTCACGGGAGCAGGTGGCAGGGGCGCTGGCATGTTGGGGTTTTTGTGTT